AGTAAGCTTTATAGTGGGTTTTGTTTAGAATAGCCACTAGCGTCTGTTTTCCCCCTTCAAGGGTTATATCCAAGGGTTTGGGTGATGCTCCATTGTATTCCTCTCTTAGGTGGTGTTTATCTTCCATATCTTGTTTTGCATCCTCCTCATGTCGCTCATAGCAGCCCTTCATTGTTGTAGCCACCTAGAATAGCATTTTAGTTACAATTTGCCTGCAGCCTCTAGCCTCTTAGCTGCCTCCCCCTTCCTATTAGCATTGCTACCACAAAATTCATCTCTTGCCCTCCTTGAAAGCCCTCCCACCATGTCACTGCCATCCAGTATAGCCAAGGAAGATCTCTTTTCTACTGCTCAACTGCTATCCACCCCAACTCCTCACTGTCACCAATTAAGATAACAATTATACTCATTGTCTTTTTAGCTCTGCACCCCCTCATGTCGCTCTTTCCTAGCATTCAGAAATCTGAAAATAAAAGAATGTGGCCTTGAAATAAATGTGAATTTACCATATTTCAATGAGTGTTGTATCATAGTGTTTGGATTGTGTTGCGGTTGTATCTTTCTCCCGAGAGGGTGTTTATCTTCCATGTCCCGTTCCACATCCTCCACACGTCGCTCCCTATTGCCCTTCATTGTTGCAGCCACCCAGGACATGATTCTGGTGATTATTCTTCTACTGCCTCTAGCCTCCCAGCCGCCACCCCCTTCCTTTCGGCCTTACTACCACCCAAACCACCACTTTCCCTGTTGTTCCAACCCTCCCACAGTTTTGTTGTCGTCCAGAATTATGATGTTCCACCACTACCCACCTTAAATCCTCGCTACCACCATCCAGAACAGTAACCATACTTGATGTCCATGTATTTTTTTCACCTGCCCCTCACTATCATCAACATTCATATGTTGTAGTATCTCCTGTCGGCCATGTTGTTCCACCTAACTAACCTCTACCATCCTTGGGCTACACTTTAGTGGCATTTGCTTGTTGTTGTATTTTTCCTTTCAAGTGTATTGATTGTAACTATATATTTATTTTTTACAAGAATATTTGATTTTCTTATGGTGGTTTGGGTTAATTTGGGTATCATTGGGTTTACCAATTTATAGTAGAGACAAGACTTATCGGTATACAATATATAATAATTTTAGGTGTTCAGAAGAAGCCACATTATTCTTAATACAACGATCGTAAGTAGTTGTCACCGGTAGTTATCGTCTGATCTTCAATATGATATTCTTCATTATATCATATTTGGGATACATTTTTGCATCATATTCAAGATATTTTTTTACAATATATTTGAGATATATTATTACATCATATTCAAAATACATTATTAGTTACTAGAGTTCACCAATAGTGATGAATAGGAGTGTCCGACAGTGGTCGAAGGTGGTTGATGGGTGGCGATCGATAGCGGCCGGTGGCTATGATGGTTAGAAGTCATTGCAGGGACTTTAATATTGTGTTATTCATTACACCACATTTGAGATATGTTGTTATAACATATTGGTGATACGTCATTACACTATATTTAGGATACATCATTACACCGCATTTGAAATACATATTTAGCTACCAAAGTTCGTCGTTGGTGGCAAGCAGAGGCAGCCGATAGTGGTCAGTAGGCACATAGTCCGGAAGTTATAGTTGGGTTTTCAGTCCAGAAAAATACTAGAATTCGACTCAGTCCCTCCCCTCTAAAGTGTGAAGTGAGTAAATCTATTTATAGCCTCTGAGGAAGGGGTATTTTAGTCTTTTAGCTAATAACTCACGTAACCACTTGATCAGACGACCCATATTGATCCACCTTAATTATAGGGGTTTTTTAATGATTTGAGAGTCTTAATGACCTCAAAATTAAGCGATCTTAGCATTGTTCGATTTCTCTCTTCGAAATGCTTGATTTGAATATAATTATGTCAATTTTTTAGTTTATTTTTTCATTCAATTAATGATCTGAAGCCTCCAAATACACTCTAATTGTTTGATTTGGGGTTGATCAGATTCATTCTAATAAATTTTAGTATCATTGGGTTCATCTTGTTGAGACGATCAATTTAACTCTAAACTTGTTGAATATTCTGGAAGATTTTTAATTTAAATTAGGAATATTAATTGTTTAAAGAATATCTCATATCCGTGCCAAAAGAAAAAAAATATGTTCATGATGCACCAAAAAAATTAAATAAATTTTAAAAATATAAAATAAAAATTTAAAGTCCATATATACCTGTTTTAAGCTTGTAGCTAAATTTTTTTATCATTTATATTTTATTATTGCCATCATTTTTTTTTTTTTTTTTTTTTTTTTTTTTTTTGTTTATAGAAGGGAGGTGGGTATTTACAAAACGTGAAACATGCACTGGCAGCGACTGAAAACCACTCTTCTCTTTCGTTTCGTACAATGTACGTTTTTATTTGTGAGCTCAATAATATGGGCCGACCACTTGACTACGATGAGGCCGTAGCTTTTCAGGTGTGAACAAAGCCCAAACTTTGTGAGCTCAAGAATTTTATTGAGCTTATTAAATTATAATTAACATTTTATTTAGTTTTTAATATCATTATTAGTATTCATTTGGGATTTGAATTTTCGCTATTTAATATAAAATGGGAAGATTTACATGCATTTTATTCGTATGTATTTACATATCTAAAACATATATATATATATATATATAGTCGAAGGTTATTAGATGAGCCCTGACTAACCCCAGATGTGCTAAATATTCGAAAGTAAAATCACGATTTATTGATGTGATATAAATGATTTGATTGATAAAATGTAAGAAAATAAAGTTTAGGTGTTAGACATGTAAGTACATAGGAATTTGATGGTATGTGCTTAAATGCCCCTATAAAATATCAATAAAAATCAATACCAATGATTAATAATATTAGTTATTTTCTCTAGATTAGTCAATGTTCTTTATGCACTTGAAAGAGTGGAAAGAATATGATGCTCATTTTTGACACAATACAATTTTATATATATTTTTTAAATGATTTTAATTTCTTCACAATCCATATACTCATTGTAAAGGAGAATGATGTTTTCTTAAATTTGAATTCTTCGTTACATAGACTTTGTTTAGTTTATAGAATTTTACTTTTGAAGTTTAGCAATTAGTTCAGTTAACTTAGTTAACTGCATTTTATTTAGCATACACTCAATTTCTTTAGATTTGAATTTCGTACTTAAGTTTTGAAGTTTGAATTGTGTTTTGCATTATAGTCATAAGAATTTATTTATAAACATTTCCAACTTCCCTGTGGGATCAATATCTAGGAATCCATTAGAGCCCTTTATTACTTGGTGTTTGAAAGAAAATCATTTATTGCTAACTTGTTGTAAGCTACGTTGATTAAAACTATGTAGGTGATATGGATTGACATGGGTCTACGATTGATTATTTATTCACAATGACAGGAGGTCCAGTCAGTTAGAAACCAATTCTTCAATTTACGGTTGTTTTGAATACTACGAAGGATAAGTACATGATAATCATGGATGTGTGAAGGAAACAATATGGATGCAAAGCCTACTAGATTATTTAAGAGTAGATTAAGGGTGTGTTTGGAGCGTCAGTGTGGTCACGGTGCAGCACCGCACCATAGTTTTTTCTGTTTAGTAAAACTATGTTTTGTCTCTTTTCTCAAAAAGCTCCAATTGAAAGCTATGTTGTCCCACCGACCAAACTACATGCAGTGGTTGCTATAAAGCTGTGGCCTGCCTTTAAAAAAAAATTAATAGCCATTTGAGCTTTTTGAACAGCAGTTTCTTCTTCAGCAGCTTCAAATTAGCTTCTTTAAAAAACTACAGATGCCCCAAACATACCCTAAAAGTCTCTAACAGTGTTCTTTGATAGTCAGAGTTTGATATTCTTGGTCACAAATCAAATTCTTTTTGCTTAAACCAATCACGTTGATGCGAGGTACCTCTTTGTTCGTTACTTAATTAATGACAATAATATTCTGTTGAAAAAGATAAATACAAAAGAGAATTCAGCGAACATACTCACAAAGCTACTATAAATCAAGAAGTTCACATACTGTAGGATTTTACTGAACAACTGAGCTCATGATTTATTACCCATTCGAGCATTTTAAAAACTACACGAGGCTTCATCTCTTCAGGACAGGGGGACAAAAGCAACCATTTTGGTGCAATCATTTTGATATTGAAACTCATTTTGATTCTCTCCCTTATCTGGAAGTGAGAGATGATGTAGAGATTATTATAGAAAATATAAATTTTAATTGTTGTATGTCAGTTAAACCAATTAGAGGATATCTAATTACAATTTTTTTTATATATTAAAAATATTGATATTAGACAAACTAATTAGAGATCTAATTACATTATCTTTTCTAAATTAAAAATATTCTTAATTTATATCTACATTAATCTTCTCTTATTTATAAAAAAAATTAGGATTAATTTTTATACGTGGAGTTGTAACCTTAATTCAGCCATTTTTATTCTTCTATTCCCACCCATTGATATTGAAATAACTCCTTCTCATGGCCAAATCACATAAAGAGATTCACCCCAAATCACATAAATCACACTATATTTAATTATAATATAATCATATGTTCATCATCAATCATCATTTTGCACAACAATTATGAGACTAATTCCTCACCACAATGCTGCGCTCACGAAAGTAACAATCACTAATGTCACCTGAGTTAACTTTAAAGGTCGGCTTCATTGCAATTCGAGCATATTATCATCCCCTTGCCTCTCTCGGGCTAAGACAAGTCAAGAACACTAATTTGATTTCGTTTCTGCATCTGACGTTACAGTGCTTGCGTCTCCCTTTTTTTAAAGAGTGCGCGCGTCTGGGAAGATCCTTTTCCCTGCAAAAGATGCTGACACTGCAATAATGCCGTCTGCATTTCAGACTTCTTTATGTTTGAGCCTATCACCTTCTTTGATTTTTCACGAGCCATTACTGTCCTCTCCTCTATTTCTCAACTTCGTATTATTTCAGTCTCTCGCATTTTCTCCTCCCTAATTGCTGCTCCTGTACTTTTATTTTATTTTATTTAGTCTGACCTCGTGGCTACACGAAACCTTGTAGAAGCAAACTCCGAGCGGCCAATGTCAAGGCCACAAAACCATACCGGACACGAAACCGGACATATGTCAACATAGACCTTTTTTATTATTTTCCCTCCCTATAAATAGCTCACACCACACTAACCTTCAGCAAGTGAAAAGCAAAGGACGCCAATGGCAATCCTCTCCTCTTCGTGCGCCTTCCAAACCCAAATCTTCTTCCTCCATTCCCCCCCAAGCTCCAACCGCCCTAAAAATCCCTCCTTTCGAATCTCAGCCTCAAAACACCACCTTTCCGCAGCCTCTCGCCGCGATCTCCTCATCGGCCTCACCGGGCTCTACGGCACTGCCACCGGCCACGCTCTGGGAGCCCCCATCCAACCGCCGGATCTAAAACAGTGCGGTCCCGCGGATCTTCCCTCCGGCGCCACTCCGGTCAACTGCTGCCCTCCGGTGAGCTCCGCGATTGATTTCAAGCTTCCTTCACACGATCTACCAATCCGAGTCCGCCACGCCGCACACCTTGTGGACGCAGAATATGTGGCGAAGTACGCCGAAGCTGTTAAGAGGATGAAGGATCTCCCCGCCGACGACCCGAGGAGCTTTGCACAGCAGGCTAATGTGCACTGTGCTTACTGCGACGCCGCCTATGACCAAGTCGGGTTCCCGAATCTCGAGCTTCAGATCCATAACTGCTGGCTTTTCTTCCCTTGGCATCGTTTTTATCTTTATTTTCATGAGCGCATTCTCGGAAAGCTTATTGGCGACGATACTTTTGCGCTGCCGTTCTGGAACTGGGACTCGCCGAAGGGGATGGAGTTGCCCTCCATCTACACACCAAGTATATTAACATTTACCTTTCAAAATAATAATAATAATAATAATAATAATAAACTGGGATGGTTTATTTGGTGCGATGACATTCGGGGTGTAAATGAGTCGAACACGAGTTGTTCGGCTCGTTTATATTTCGAGCTCAAAAAGTATGTTCGTGTTCGGCTCGTTAAGCAACGAGCCGAACACGAGATGTTCACGAACAAAGAATCTTTTTAACAACCCTAATCATGTAGCCATAAGATAATAAGGATTTGAGCAAGATTTAAAAATTATTATTTATATTAAAACATTATTTGAATCTAGTTTAATAATGTTTATTCTTTTTTCTTAATCAATATTTTAATTGATTATAAATCTTTGTAGTCTTGTAGTCAACTAGATTTTTAAATACTACTTATAAATATATAAACTTGATGAGTAGTATTTCGAGCCAAAACGACACGAACGAACACATCTTAGTTCGTGTTTGGCTCGTTAACTTATCAAACAAAATTAACGAGCCGAAAACAAGCTTTTTAACGAGCCGAACACAAGCTGTTCGCGAACAACGAGCCGTTTTGACAGCCCTAGGTGTCATTTTGAAAACACACCTGACATGTTTGAGTAAAATATCGTTTTCACACCGCATTTATTTATGTGTAGTGGCTGGTTTCTGTGACCGATCTGGTTTTTCCAAAAAAATTAAAATTTATATTAGTCACTGTACATTGCTTATCAACAGATTATTTTTAATCAATTTATCAACAAATTATTCAATAACTGCTCCGAACAGACTCTAAAAGAATGCCAAAACTATTTTTTTGAGAATTTTAAAAAAACAAAATATATATTAAATATCGATGTAATTGGAAGAATAAATTTCATATAAAAATTATGATGTGTCAAAATCAATTTAGGACCATCCTAATAAAATACTAGTTCAGCATATCTTGGGTCAATTTTTTTCAATTATTATGTTAGCCCCTATCTCATAGCCTCAAAATTTAATTTTAACTATTGACATAATTTTAATCGTATTAGTCATGTAGGTTAAATTATCACCGACACCAAATATAATACAAATTAGTTTAGCATGACTCAAAATTAAATTTAATTTGAGACAAATTCATTTAATTGGCCACGTTGTAGTAAGTTGAGCATTTTGTAAGCCTCTAATATCATCATGACATTTTACCCTTTCAATAGTCTAATTAAGCCCACATCTTTCTAATAAGAAAACAAATAATAATATAGCAAATATCAATGTCCCTATTTCTCTAAGTATTTAATCAAGTAAGCATTTCTCTTATGAAAAAATCATCATTAGCATCACAATAATCTTTTTTATATAGTTTTATAATTTAATTTCTCACGTATATGTATACATTTTTCCATATTTTTATATCCAAGATTGGACTTTGCAGCCTCGTCTTCCCTCTACGATCCCCGCCGGGATCCCGCCCACCAGCCGCCAACCATCATCGACCTTGACTTCGGTATAAGCCCATCCCCGAACACCAAGAAAGAACTCATCGAGGACAATCTCAAGATCATGTACCGTCAAGTCGTCTCCAACGGCCCGACCGCCGAACTCTTCCTCGGCGCACCCCTGCGAGCCGGAGACCAACCCGACCCCGGCGCGGGTTCGCTCGAAAACGTGCCCCACGGCACGGTCCACATCTGGACCGGGGACTCCCGCCAGCCCAACCGGGAAGACATGGGCGTCTTCTACTCCGCCGCCCGCGACCCCATCTTCTTTGCCCACCATTCCAACATCGACCGCCTTTGGGGCGTATGGAAGTCTCTCGGCGGCCAGCGGAAGGATTTCACCGACGCCGATTGGCTCAACACCGGCTTCTACTTCTACGACGAGAACGCGAAGCTGGTGAAAGTGAAGGTAAAGGACTGCCTGTCGACGGAGCGACTGCGTTACAAGTATCAGGATGTGGATAATCCATGGAAGAAAGCGAAGTCGGCGCGGGGGGGAACGGGAAGGCCGGTGAAGCCGAAGGCGGAACCGAGTTTTCCGTTGAGTCTTGAGAAGGCGAACGTGTCGGCGACGGTGAAGCGGCCGGCGAGGGCGGGGAGGAAGGGGGATGAGGTGGAGGTATTGGAGGTGAACGGGATCGGGTTTAACAGTTCGGTTTTTGTTCAGTTTGATGTGTATGTGAACGCGTCGTCGGAGGCGGCGCTGAGGCCGGCGGTGGCGGAGTGTGCGGGGAGTTTTTATCACGTGCCGCATTTGAGTCGGGAGGGGAGGAATGCGATGAAGACGAATCTGAAGCTGTGTATAACGGAGTTGATTGAGGATATTGGGGCGAAGGAAGATGATGACTTGGTGGTGACGTTGGTGCCGCGGGCGGGGACGGGGGTGACCATTGCGGGGCTGTCGATTGTGCTGGTTTCTTGAGAGATGAGTTTGGGTTGACGTGGAAATAATGAGGATTTGGGCGGCGTTTCGTAGTAATGTATTAATAATTGTAGGGGTGTAGGCTGGGGAATGCCTACGGTGGTTTTATGGTAATTTCGGGGAATATTATTATTGATTCCGATTTGTGAGGCTGTCTTTTAATGAAAAATTTTTTTTTTTGCTTTGCTTGAATTTTGTAATTTTATATATTGTTTATTAAAATTTTTTTAAGGTATTTTTATTTGAATATTTAACGGAATATACAAAATTATATAAATGGGAATTATGCATACATGCCGCACAGTTGTAATATAATTATTGTATGCACCAAAAATATCAACACGAATCTCAAAACGACTAGATGGTACAAACAACGGTCGAACGATGGAAGCATCCGATCTGCGAGCGACTAATCATGATTTATTGACATGACATGACAAAAGATTTGGCCAACGGAACATGACTACAGCCCCAGACCAATCGAAGTGCGCGAAAGAGGGTTCGATCGTAGTTGGCCGACTGACTCGTGGCGAGCGAGATCTCTATACAACCGAGCACCTCGACCAATCGACACATATTTTGGAAGGCATAATCTCAACTCGGTCGGTAGCCTCAATCAGAGAAACTTAGGCACGTCGGCCCAACCAATTACCGCCATGTTGTAATACAGATATAATATAAAATCTATATAATTTATTAAAGGATTAATCATATTAAGAAGGTTTTTGTAACTTTTCTTTTCTTTCTGTAATTGTACAAAATACACTCATATAAATAATAGAAAAAATAATAATAATAAAGGGGACGGACTCATTGTCCCCTTCGGATTCCCTCTACAACAAATTCTTGAACGGCTTTACTCTCTTCTCTCCTTTATTCAGCTCTAATTCTTAAGGCATGTTCACAAAAGACAATATGCGATCTAACATCTCCAAAGGTAGTGCGGTGAGCTCAGGCATACCTCAGAAGAGAAGCAGAGCTAACTATAATGGAGAAACTTCTCAAAGAGAGAACGCGCATGGATCCCAAAAAAGTCGCAACGCAACCAGACAAGCATGCTCAGGCTCAAGGCTTACAAGCCCAAATAACCATCGTGATGGAGCAGTTCGAGATCCTCCGGGCGTAAATCACCCAAAGGAACGACCAACCGCCACATTTGGAAGCAAAATCTCAGGGGGTCCATCCTCAAGACAATGAAAACCTGCATCAATGAAAAATCTTCTCCATCACTGGTTCTGTAAGGAATCATCTGACCGCTTTCCACCCTTGCAAAGCTTACGTACATGTTGAAAAGTCAAGGGCATCATGAACCTCTCCCCCCTTTATATAGGGAAGAAAAGTCTAATGTTCGCAGGGGTCGCCAACTCAACACACTGATGGGACATCTCGTCGTCTCAATTCTCGAAGTGGAAATGAAACATCCCATCAAGCAGCCTTTAATGTGTCATCGGTTCCTAAAGAAAGGCATTAAACGCAGAGTGGTCCCGAGACTTCGGGAACTGGGCTCGACCAAGTATTTTTTCAAACCCTTGCTCGATACTCGGGGAATCTGAGATGGTAGAAACTAGGCAATCGATGATATCGCAAGACTATAAAAAAAAATTCATCCCTCGATAGAAATGCCTTAGTAAGATCTTCAGGCCAGGGCGCCTGAGGCGTTTCCTCTGCTCACTAATTGTAAGATCCATGAAAAGCACATGGGATTCCCCGAGAGTCCTAAATCGACGCCCTCCACAAGTGACAACAAGATCCACACATGGTGATCTACAAATGGATAAATACCCACACGAGTCGGCAAGATTAGGTTAAGTCCTCGGGAGATCCAGAAAAACCACCAAGAGACCCAACGATTCTAGGAAAATTGACAGATTGCCGCATAACTAGTCTAGAAACTTTGATATCTTCCAACCGCAAGCCGACAGGGGGTTAACAGTGGATTACCAAGGGATGACTCTCTCCTCACTAGAGACAAGATCCGCAAAAAGGATGTGAAATTCATATAGAAAACCTTACTCATCGCCCTCTTAAGTAACGACCAGATTTGAGTCGGGAGGAATAATTGATCGAGAGCGGTATCTGCTCAAAAAACATGCAAGTCTTTTCGTGTCATAGTGCACATTAGCTTGTTGTGTCATAATGCACATTAGCCTGCTAAAAAATTATCACCCTCTCAAGCATGCCTCTTCGAAGACCAATGTCTCCGATAAAACAAAAAAAAAAGTCCGCAACAAGCCTAAGAGGCAAAACTAAGATAAAAAAGGCAAAAATGTTTCCTTTCATTGTTATGTAAGGAATCATAAGTCTTTTCGTGTAACACTAATAAGATTTAATGATATTAATAATAGTTTTCATAAGTGCTCTCTCCTTTCAATACAAAATAGGCTCATATAAATAATTAATAAAAATATGAATGAAGGGGATGGACTCACTCTCCCCTCCGGATTCTCTATAAAGCAAATTCTTGAACTGCTCTACTCTCTTTTATCTTATTCACTTCGCTTGAACTCTCAATACATGTTCACAAAAGTAATTTGAAATTTAACATGTATATATCTAAGCCCTATATAAAAATATGTATTTGTTTATAGAAGCGAAAAGTCGAAATCTGCGGCTCCCTAGTTCTAGCGTATAAAATAAGGAGATTAGTGTGCTGCTAGAGTGTTCGACTCGTTTATATTTCGAGCTCAGAAAGTGTGTTCGTGTTCGACTCGTTTGTTTAGCGAGCCGAACAGGTGCTGTTCACGAACAAAGAGTCATTTTGACAACCCTAATCACGTAGCAATAAGATGTTAAGGATTTGAGCAAGATTTAAAACAACATTTTAATCGAATTTAATAAATTTTATTCTGTTTCCTTCATTAATACTTTTAATTGATTGTAAATCTTTGTAAACTTGTAGTCAATTATTTTTTCTTAAAATACTACTCATCGAAGATATATATATAATTGATTAGTAGTATTTCGAGCCAAAACAAGCCGAACACGAATAAACAAATATTTGTTCGTGTTGTTCTTGTTCGGCTCGTAACTTAGCGAACGAGCCAAACACGAGCTTCTTAACGAGCCGAAAACGAGCTGTTTGCGAACAACGAGCCGGTTTGACAGCCCTCACTATGTGTGTAA